CTGTTCTTCTACCAGCTCTTCTAAAGCCTGGAGTTTCTCTGTTGTAAAGGCCATTGCTGGACACATACAGGCTTGTCTGTTAACTATTTTAAAGGTAGAGCTTTTGGTGTCTTTGGGAGATTATCAGTTGTTGTGCCCTGTTCTTGTATAATATGGATACCTATAGAAATGTATAAATGTGTGAGAACTGTGGCCACATGTGTGAGTGTTTTATGTCTGAGCTTGTGTGTGCATTGGGACTTTTGGGCCAGATTGCCAGCGGAAGTGATGGAGGCACCTTTGGTAGTTGAACTGGCACAGGGTAGGCAGCCCATGAGCTTCACGGGGCCTAGATGCAGCGGGTCAGGCGCCCTAGCTCACTCAGAGAGCTTTGGAGTAGAGACTTTACAGCACGATGCAGAGGCGGCCAGATTGGCCCAGAGGCCGCATGGGAACTAGGCATGGCTGTGTGCTAGGGCAGGCTGTGAACACTGTGGGGCCCAGATATGGCCGGCAGGTTCTGGCTGGGCTCCTGTGTGAACACAGGACAGAGCTGTCAGGAGACAGCAGGAGCCCTCAAGAAGCTCAGTATGGGGGCTAGTGGAGAACTAACTGCCCCTCCAGGGTCACAGCTGAGGAGTGCCCTCAAGTCTGTGGGCCCAGCCAGGGCATGGAGTCACTTTCAGTCTGCTGTTCTCATGTACTTGAAAGTCTGAGGTTAACAGCAATCTTTTGTTTCCATGGTGCACACTTTCCCCGTCCTCCTCATTCATGTTCATGCTGTTGAGTGGGGCTCCCAAGACCTGTCCTGGGGCTAAAACCTGATCAAGGTTTGGCTCCAAGAATGGAATGTTACTGCCTATGATTGATAAGCTACCGTGGCTAAGTTTTAAGTTTAACCAGCAGTATCTTGTTTATGGTACAGTGCTGATGCAAATTTAGAGTTGTTGTTATGGTATATGCATGTATTTCTGTTCTTGTTTAAAATATTATAACTTTACAATATATTCTACATTACTGAGGGAAATCAAAGAAAGACTTTAGTAAGAGTTTCTGTTTTAAAGAAAAGAAAAAGTGAAAATTGTCTAGAGTAAAAGTCTGAGGGATCAAAGGAACAGACTCAGGGTATATGGAAGGTTGGAGAAGGTCAGAGGCGATGTGATGTAAACTGTTAATGATACTGCAAACTGCTTATGTGTGTCTGTATACAGGTATGTGACTTGAAAATGTAAGCAAGCTTTACTGTATGTATGTATGTGTGTAACTTGGATCCAATTGTGTGTACGTTTGCAAGCAATTATTGTTTAGAGAAATGAGCTTTAAACAGCAACCACATGGCTCCCTCCATCTTGGCTGGTGACCTCATGGGCAGCCATGTGGCTGGTGGCCATCTTTTACTAAGGTTATAAAGATCTACTCTGGCTAACACCTAAGTACTTATGTCTTTACCAAGTTTTCAACAGCAAGTTTCTAGAGAATTTAAATAGATGGCAACATATGTTTAATAAATAAGGTATTTGATTAATATTAAAGCTGCACATCAATGCTTTTATACATGGAAACATACCTTACTATGGCAGCTAAACTTTGTAATATAAAGGAATCATAGGAAACAGCTGAGATTTGCAAATGTATGGCTACATTTTGGACTAGAGTTCCAAAAATAGTCTAGTTGCAGTGGTGGACCTTAGCATTTAAAAAAATGTTAATGCCAGGTGATGATAACAGGAAGCACCAGTCAAAATAAAATAGAGCAGGCAGGCTATGTATATGCTGCCAAAGGCAGGGTCAAAGAAATCATCTAAGCCTCTATGTAAAAGAACCAGAAAGATTATAAATAAATCCCAGATATTGAACTTTGGGATTGTTTACACTTTGGAGCTTGGTTTTACTTTATACAGATTGTGATGATGCCATGTTTTCTCCCCCTTAAAGTGAAAGAAGATACTTTATTGTTGATATTACAGAAGACATTTGAGAGATCTTAATCTTTTAAGAACAGTTTTTATAGTTAAAAACCAATGACTTAAAAAATGGTTCTCCTTACCCAATGTACATTAAAGCTTAAGAATGATGTCCAGCCTCCTTGTATTTGCTAAGTTTGTTATGTTTTCAGTGTTGAGTTGAAACAAGTAACTAGAAACAAAGCTTGTTTATTCAGATATACCTGGACTACCCTCATACTTCAGAAATCTGCAGAGTATGGTATTTAAATGTTGATCTAAAAGCTTATTATATCAGACAGGCTTTCAGATCCTAGCAGTGACCCAAGGTCTCCAGAGAAGATTACGTATGAGGCACCACAACATGTCTGTTTGGATTATGGATACACTGAACACAGGGCAAGATGCCCTAATGCCTGGCTTACCCAAGAGCTGCAGAATGGGGTGGGTGCAGGAGCTGCTGATGGCTCAGAGAATCTCAGCATCTACTTTAGGAGATCTAAAGGTAAAAGAGGGCAGTACTTGAGATGCTCTGTTGACTGCTTCATCGCCTACCACGCAGCCTCACCTTCATCTCCTCCTCCACACAATGGGGAGCTAGAGTCTTCCTTTTCCCCAAGTGCTGAGCCCCATATTGGGCATGAGGAGGCCATGGAGAGGATGCAGGAGTCAGAAAAATAAACATTGCTGGCTGAGATGGGTGTGGCTGTCTGAGAGGATGGTGGTACTGTTGGTGTCTTCTCTCCAAAAAAAGAGAGAATCCCCATCTAGTATATCTGAATGAGGACTCCTTAATGTCTGAGTATCTTCTCTACCACATCAAAGATGTTGTAACCAAGGTTGGCCAGGTAGATGTGGACATCAAGTTGACTGGACAATTCATCTGGGAGCAACACTGTCTCTTCTGAAGCATCTCTCAGCCTGATGGAGAAATGATGGTCACATTAGAGCCTGGTGAAGGAGCTGATGGAAGGCTTGTGATGGAACCGCTGGTGTTGAAGTCAGGAAACAGGATCATAATGGGCTGGATGGTGAAAGAAGATTGATGCTGTTAAAACTGGTGCCTCCAATGCTATGGAGACCTGGGTAGGGATAGGTCCCTGTAATTTATAGGATTGGAAGCTTCTTGGTCTACACTCAGATATAGTTTATCCTTCTTAGATTTATGATAGTGCTGATGGCTAGAATAGCTCTAACGTTGTCAGCGTGGCAGCATCAACCAGATCCTTCTGCAAGTCTATAGCTAGCTTGTTAGGTCACTTTTAGGAAAATGTTCTAAGATATAAAAGTTTAAGTCATAAAGGTTCATATATGAGTCTAAAATGAGATATGTTTCAGATTACTCTCCTGTTCTATGGTTCAGAGATTAACATTTAGGAGTCCTGATGAGCTGGTAGAGTACTACTTACTGTTCAGTCACAAGCTCAATATTTTGGATTTGTTTTAGTTGTCATATTTAAATGTAAACCTAAAAGTGCTTCTCATCAGGCCAAAAATCTCTGTCCAATTTATACCTAGCTTTCTGAACAGAAGAAAAATGTACAATGTTGGGTCTCAAAGGTATGAGTCCACTTCTGCTGTTTTACAGATACCCATTACCTGCTTTGTTTACAATATGGATTTCAGTACATATTGGTAATACTAATGTATCTACAACTTCTATGTCATTTTGTAAGTAGGCCTCAAAGGATCAAAAGTGTCATAAAAACCTAGACCCACTTCACAGAGGTTGATAGGACCCCAGATAAGTGTTCCTAAAGATGGTATTTTTCCTTTCTCCTTGTCTTGGGACTACTGCTTTTCCCATTACTAAGGGTATGGACCTAAGGGTTCCAAATAAGTTCATAAATTTTAACTTCTGTTTCTAGTTTAAGTTTGTCTCAACAGATTTCCACTTGGCTGGAAGTCACCTCCAAGTTTCGGTCACTGACTCCACTGCTTCAGACAACTGTGAGCTCCGGACTTGCTAAAAGCTACTGTGGAACAGCCCAGCTAGCATGGTTCTTCCCTTTCCCTATGGGGTCAGGCAGCTACATGCTTCTGATGAATGCCACCTTGCCCAGTCTTTGACTAGCTTTTCATCCTTTTGGGGGGCCCTGACAATGGTGCCCCAATGCCAGCTCGAAGCAGTTTCAGAAGAGAATATGTCACCCATATTCCCTGTTCAGAAAAGGCTGAAATGCTAAGTCAAAAGAAAACTCCCTGGCATTGAGATAAGATGGCTAACTATACATGGCCATTTTTAGAGAGGGATACTTACGAGCTAACTGTCCAAAACCCATGATTGGGTTCCATTAGGCACATGAGAATGGGGAAATGTGAGACCAAAATGAGCCATCTTAGAAATAAGACCAAAATGCTTTCACCCTAAAATTAAGGCCTAAGATTTCTCCTTTTGAAAATAGGCCATTAGTTCCTGAAACCAGTCAGTTCAGATTCCAGAAACCAGGAAGTGTAAAGGTACAGAGTCACAAGATAGTCACAAGGTAAAGCCTGCCAGACTATGGAATGTCCTCTCCTTGGTTTCCAGGGTAACTGACCACAGAAGTGCCCCCACCTGAGGGCAGCCAATGAGAAATGGTGGCAGGCAACCACTCCCTTAGAAGTAATTTCTAGAAGTCCCTAGAAGGGAGCCAATCAGAATTGTACCCATACTAGCACCCCTAAATGATGTAATCTTGTGATTTTTCCCTTTAAAAGCTGAGCTTGCAGACAGGTGGGCACTTCCTCCAGCCTTTACTGTGTTGGATGTATTGGTCAAAGTCCCTGCCTAGGCTTGTATTGCTTTTAGATACCCAGAATTGACCCTTGCTTTTGCATTCCGGCATGCTCGTCTTTGGTGGTCTCTCTGGGGGTTATGATCTGGGCACAACACAGCAGGTTTGGCCTTTGTTCCTGCAATGAGCATCTGCTCAAGTTTGTGCATAACAAAATGGAAGAGAAGATAAAGATTGCGGATAGAGTTAAAAGGACACTGAGACAGTAGGGTGATCATTGGGCAAGTGGCCTACATGACATCTGGCACATTGTATGTCCTTTGGTTAGAGAAAGAATTCAACAGAAGTTGGAGGCTATAACACAGAGATGAAGAGAGAAGTGGGATTGAGGATAGTGTTGGAGGTCATTGAAAGAAGGCAGGAGGTTCAATAGTGAGTAGGTTACATGGATTTCTGGTGGCTGGCATGGCCTCTGGTCCAGCAGGGGCTCTTTATCTCAAGTTGTCTACCTGTTTTTCTGGACTGTATGGCTGCATTTGAGCAGAAGATATCCATTGGACTTGGTGTTGAGGACATGGCTTTGGTAGTGGCAGCTTTCGGGTTGATGGGTGACTGTGTCTTTGGAGACGTGAGGATTGTGGAAGTTTCCTGGGCTGGTGGCCGGGTAACCTGGTCTTCTTGCTGGCAAGACATGCACATGAGCAAGATTTGTCTGTTTGTGTTGGTGGCTGGAACACAGACATATCCCTCTTCTTCTAGATGGGAGTATACCCTATGCCATTGTATGTTGGAAATTCTATATTTATTTTTGATTTTTACAAAATTTGACAGTCAAGATGTTGTCTTCTGTGTCACAAGAGAATTTAGATATTTGAGCTGTTTGAAGATGTTACAGATTATGAGAGTCATTGAACTTACAGAAAATATATTTTCAGTTTTTCTTTTCTCTTGGTATTTATTCTTCACTCATACAATATATCTTCACTGCAGCTTCTACTTCTTCCACTCCTAGTCAACCCCCCTGAAATCCTCATTCCTTCAAATCCACTGCTACTCTGTTTTCCTTTAGGAAATAGTAGGCCTCCTAGTGATATCAACCAAACACATCATAACAAGGTGCAATAAGGCTAGGTAAAATATCATATCAAGGCTGGACAATGTAACCCATTAGGAGGAAAGGGGTCCAAGAGAAAATGAAAGAGCCAGACACCAAGACTTCTACACCTAGTGGTCCCACAAAAACCCCAAGGTAAAGAACCATCACATGTAAACAGAGGACCTGGCTCAGAGCCACGCAGAATTCATGATTGCCACTTCAGTTTCTCTGAACCCCTAGGTACCCCACTTTGTTGATTCTGTGGGCCAGGTTCTCCTTCTTTCATCAATCTCCCTGGGTATTATAATATTCCTTCCCTCCTTCCATGGGATTTCTAAAGCTCCACATCATGTTTGGCTAAGAATCTCTGCATGTTTTCTCATCATCTAATAAAAAAAACCTGTCTGATGACTATTAGGCTAGGCACCAAAGTTTCACTATAACAGTATATAGTTATAAACCATCTCATTGTTTTTTCCTTGGTCAGTTGTATTGGCTTTTTTCCTAGTTCTCTGAGCCATCCAATTCCAGTTCCTATCCATCTAGGCAGTGTCAGGCATGGAAATTCACTCATAGCTTGGGCATCAAATTTGACTAGTCATTTGTTAGACAGTACAGAAGCTCTGAGCCACAATTACCCCAGCATATCTTTCAGGCAGGACATGTGTCAAGTGTCAGGTGAATGTATTGTGTCTGGCTTGGTGTCCCAATTCCACCACTGTGATCCTTTTCTGATTACAAGATCATTGGTTCAGCCTCTAAATTCTTATTTATTTATTTATTTATTTATTTATTTATTTATTTATTTATTTATTTTCTGGTTTTTCAATACAGGGTTGCTCTGTGTAGGTTTTGGAGCCTGTCCTTGAACTCATTCTGTAGAGAAAACTGGCATCAAATTCACAGAGATCTGCTTTCA